GATGGGCCATAATAATCATATACATTGTATATTGACAAAATAAAAATTAAAAAGAAATAAATTTAAAAAAAAAAAAAACATGTGTGTGCATCTCTCTCTCTCTCTCTCTCTCTCTCACACACACACACACACACACACACATATCACCAAGGGAGTGGTATGTGGCTCTGTAATGTTCTTGACCCTGATCATCCTCTCTGACAGTGGTCTTTGTTGCCTCCCTCTCCCACTCTTATGTTCTTGACAGCAAAACAATCTGCTGAGCTATAAGGACCATAAGGGTAACATTTTTTTTTTTTTTAATCTGGGGGAAAGCAAAGGGAGAGAGATGATGTGGTAGAAGACCCCAGGTCTGGAAACATGGGCACTGGTGCATATCCATTACATGCTGGGTATCTCCAGAGACTGTCTAACTCTGGTTCTACCTCCTGAAACTTAATGTCTTTACCTTTAAAATGTGCTGTTTAGCTTATCATCGATGCTTAGTAAATGGTAGCTACTACTGCAATCATTACCACCACCACCACCTCCACCACCAATGAAGAAGATGGAAGAATATACATTGAAGCTATTTAGAATAGTGGTGACATGATTAAAAGTTACCTTGCATAGGTGAAAATGTATGTATCATTGTAAAAATGTGTCACACTTACCCTAGAATAACTTCGCGTAGTCATCTAGCTACTGTTCAGCCGGATGGTACCCACCCACCAAATTCTCCTCTTTGCCCTATTTTACGTAAGTGTACTACCCAAAGACCTGAGACAACTTAAGTGGCTTTGATGTTTCTCTTTCTGTTTCTGTCCCATGTTCCTATCTCCTTATTTCCACCTTATAACCTTTATTTCCCTGAGTTTCTTTTTTCCTTAATTGCTCTACGTTTCTTTCCTCCCTTCCTACATTTCACTGAAGCTGGAGATGTCAACTGAAACACAATTAAAACAGTAAAACTGGATCCCCTTCTTTGGAATGATAATTGTAATGATGATGATGATGATTGTGATAATAAGAGGAAACCACATTTTTGAGCACTTAGTATGTGCTAGTCACTGTTTCGAAAAAATGTCTTTTCTTCATTCCTTTTAAGCACGTTTTGAACATTACCACATTTAATCCTCACAACAACCCCATAAGGTAGCTACTGATATTTTCCCTTTCTCCAGATGGGGAAAATGAGGCAGAGAGGAGGTTAAGCTACTTGCCTAAGATTAAAAAGTTACCAATTTTTAAAACCAGAATTTCTAAGTCCAGAGTCCATACACTGGAAGGAATGCTGTGCTGCTTTTCCTGGAGCACATAGCATAGGAGTTTTGCCAATTTGCAATTGGTAATTTGTGTTGGCAAGGGCCTCTGACATTACAGAATCCCACAGTGAAATATTGCAGGCCAGGCCATTTCACTCCTTTATGAGTAGAATCTGCTTCAGCACAGCAGCAGCTGAACCTGCAGTTGCTCACAAGGAAGACGGGAACAAACATAGCTTGTAATGTTTATTTTATGTTCATATTATTTACCAAGAGGAAACATGCTCAGTTGTCCCAAAATAAGGTGGTGGTGAAAAGTTCTTACATTCAGCCCTTTATGAATAAATTCATCGTCTGTGCGAATCCCATTGTCTTAAAAGTGAGGGAAATAAAACCACTGAGGGTCTCTTCGACTTCAGAATTATGAGATGTCCCTGACTATATTCCAGACTATTTATCCAAATAAATTCCTGATTGTTCCACAATATGTCAATTCTAAGTGCCTGTACACATGCTTCAGTTGCTCCTTGGGGGCCATTTTTCTATAGAGAATGTGTTTCTGGAAAATACAGTATGTGACGAGAGAGCTTTGACAAGCTGAGCACATTGTGGTTTGTGGGTGGGCAGTTATTCTTTAGGAGTTCAGGAAA